TTATAGATGCCACCATCTAATTTTGATAATCATTCTTTATTTAAAACATTTTAAGTAAAACATCTTTGTGAGTCGACTGACATGACATCTGTCTCAAAGTTCTTCATTAAATCTTTTAGCTGCTTCTGCATTTGATACATGTCCATAGCTGTAATCATGTGCTTGGTTTGCTTAATCAAATTACTATTTTAAGAACTAAAGCAAAAACGTTTTGCCATTTTCATTCCATGCTTGTGTACAACAACTTAAAATAATCTGATATAAAAATGTCCAAGGTGATATGTCACAAATATGTTCTTATATAACTAAACAGGTTTTATTAAGAATATTAATACAAAACTATTACACACATGGTGAGAATGTATTTATTTGCATCATTTGTTTACAACTACTCTTAATATTTATATAAAAAGTGCAAATATGTCACATTTCATTATCCATATAAAATAATTTTCTCATTAGATACCGCTGGTGATCTGTGATCAACCGCACAGGCCAGATGTGACTCCTCCCTACAGTTTAAATGCCAAAAGTTAGCATTTTAGCTAATTGTCTGGTAAAAGGTCAATAGGCATTTGTAAATGAGACACATGGTGGGTGTTCATTAGAAGTGCTGAGAGCTGCTAGGGCTTATTAGAGTAGCACAGGGTCCAGCCAATTGTGTGTTTCTCAAGGGAAAGTCTATAAAGTCCATTTATGCTCTACAGTCAAAGAGGACAATGCTGTCAAAGCTGTTATTTCTTGGCAGTGCTGTAAAGACCAGTCTTGGGCCACAATAAACCTGTTAGTAAATTTAACTTTTGTTTTCTTTTATGAAAGAAAAGCATTCAAGGTGGGACCATTGTGAAGTCCTAAGAAAAACATCTAAACCAAACATGAGGCTGTTTTTGGATCCCCTCTTTTAAGATTTTGAATGAATTAACTGACTTTTACTTATCTTTGGAGTTTATTTTCTTTTTAACCCTATCACAACTAGCTATAGGTGCACATCTATTTGTTCTTGATTTAATTTTGAAATAACTTTGGTCTTTTTCCATTTTATTTCCCAAGCCATTTACGTAAGAAAGATCAGTGTTGGATTTCATCAGGCATATGCTGGACTGATTGTCACACTCATCATATCTAAGCCAACACTGGACACAGTAATATAATGTTTTGACTGCAATGTAAAAAAATATATATAATTAAAATGTCACTGGTCATAGGTTTTAAAGTTTTTAGTCCAAAAATTATTTAACAGTGCCCCGTCCAGATAGGAGATTAACAACTAATACCTGTGACAGCCAACACCCATCTCCCCCACTTCAACTGACCTTGTGCTTGGCATTGTATGTCATGTGTGTACATTTTGACACTTACATAACTAAGTACCAAAAACAACCCTCCACCCCATAACAGTAGAACAAATATGATTACTAACAACATGATAACAAAAAATATCAAGACAACAATAAAAAAAGAATTTACTGCCTTCCGATAGTGAAGCTTCTTTTACACCCTTAAAACTTAGATGCAATGTGAGCATAGAGGGGATTTTTCTTCCCTTAGATTGAGAGAAAGTGCCCTCTACAGCTTTAAGCAAACTCCAGAATATTTTAACTTCATAACTTTAGTGTCCAGGCACCTGAACCTTTGGAGCTGTTCTTTTAAGCCTGTGCTTAACACTTACATTTTCATGATTTCCTTGTGTTCTGCCAGACCAGTAAGACAAATATTCGATTAAGTTAAAATGAGAACATTTCAGGATCCACCAGACCAGAACAGCTACATGCTGCATTTTAATGCACAGATTTTTCTCACATTTGCACATAATGCACATATTTTTCTTCATATTGTTATCCTTCTCATTTTTTAATCAAATAGTTAATGTTGTTTAGTAATTGTTATCTTGTGATTCTATACTAAGGGTGTATTATATTTTTTAGGGTGTCCTTTAGGATGCTTATTATTGGATTCACTATAAGTGTTTTTAATTTTATTCTGTGTATTTCATTTGAAGTCTGAGGCAGTATATCATCAACATGTCACTACAGCTACATATTGATAAAAAATGCTTTATTTTTGGAAAGTTATTTTAAAGCAGTCCTCCTCATTCCCATATGTTCCACTGTTTTCACTAAGACTTTTGACAAAAAAAAATACAATTTTAACTTTTATGATTCAAGTATTACCATCAATTAATCAGAATGAAATTGTATTCTAACTGCAAGGGATGTTAATTCTTATCTAAAATCTGATCAGCGTCCATCTATACACCTGTTCCAATCATGTTACTTGGATTGGGGCAAACGGAACTTTCGCATTGAAGATGAGGCAGCAGCACTGGATAGCATATACCGTTACTTTAAGGGATGTTAATCTTATCCAGTTCTTATATCCTGTAACCCAGGAACAGCGACAGAATGATTTGCTAAACCTATAGCTGAACTATATCGAAGCAGTAATGACACAGATCCACTCTTGCCGCTCAAAACAGGCAGAATTAACACATCTCTGATTTTTTTCCCCTTTTTTTTAGCCTGGACACCTTTCTAAAGGTAAAACTGACAGCTTCACCTATCACAGTGCTTCTACTCTAAATAAAGCTGTGTGCAAGTAAACACATCATGATCAGATCATTTGAGTTTACGGGCAATATAAATGGTGCATTCTGATTATGTTTTTTCACATTTTAATCTGATGAAGGAATTTTGCACAGCTAACCATAACAACTGTCATTATCAGGCTAATAAGCAAACAGCAGCATCAGGCAAGCTACCGGAGACACAAATGTCAAGGCTCAATAGTTGTGTTTTGGGGTGTTGCGCAAGACTCCACAAAAGGCTGGCAAGCAAACAGCTGTTGACGTTTCCACAGCTCGAAATGGAATAAACGCAGGATATTGTAGTGACACCACCTGCTGTTGAAATCCCTTGATCCTCATCAATGTCTCTATGTGTTCAGGTGCTGTATCATCACCAGTGCTGTTTTGCTGTGTTAAATTGCTTTTGCAAGGTTGCATAGTCTCCACTTTTCACCACTGTTAAGTGCTTTTACTCTTTTAAGGACTCAAAAATAGAAATTAGTAAAAATCCCAATGAAAATGTTAATGTTTTACATTTTGCAGACAACAATGCCAGGAGGTTTTTTTTTTTTTTTTTTTTTTTTTGATTTATTTTTTATTTATTTAAAACGCTTCTGGTGCTTTTTTATGTTTTTCTCTGCCATTATTTGTTTGGGGAAAAAAATAATGAAAGTAAAAAAACAAAACAAAGCTCATATAAAAATTAATGTGTTCCAACATAGTTCTTTTTAAAAAGCATTGTATTTCTGAAAAAAAACAAAAACAAAAAACGTTTAAAATGTTGAAGAAATATAACACTATAAAAAGTAATAAACACAAAAAATAATATGGATAACATGAATGAGTTCAAAGAGAGCCTTTGACTAATTAGACTAAAAACACATTCATTAGTGAAGCACAGCTTTGCCATTTGATCACAGGTGAATATATATAGACTTACAAAGAGATCAAATAAAGAGTTTATAACTACAGTAATGCAAAACTTTATTAAAAAGTTAATTTAGCATCAAAGACCCTAAAAGCTGTTCAGTGTCTGCAGAACTTTGTGATGGATAGTGTGAAGTGCACTAGTTTGAAAAGATGAGCATGTTACACAATCAGCTGTCTTTTAGATTAACGGAAATAATGAAAATTTATTTAAAATAAAAAAACATTTTGAGGCAAGCTCTTATAATTCATCTTTGTGCCTAACTCAGAAATGGTTTTGGCACCAAACAGAAAAGGTATAACTGGAAACATACTCCTGAAGCTCTGTGTTGTGGCTATTAGCAAAGAAAATGAAAGAAATATTCTTTACTCTGTCATGTGTCAGTGTGTTGCCAACACTTCTTCAAAGCCTAGAGTTAATAAATTTGATGCTTGGCCAAAATGCTTTTCTTTTTTAGGAAAGAAACAAAAAAACAATCCATTGCTTGGACTATGTGGCACTGAATGACCTTAAAGTGTTTCTTTGACAACAACTTTAGAAAAGAATTAGTAGATGTGCGAGTCAAAAATAAAAATCTGACTCTTGGCCGAGTTTCAGGAACGTACGAAAACTGAAATACACCCATGAACCAACCACCACCAGGAACAATGGGCTATATGCCCAACTCCACTACTTCCTGAACTTCAGCCAGCTCCTTTGTTTCCTGTCATTCATTACTGGACAGGGTAATTAATCCAGGTGTGTTTGGCCAACGTTGTCATGGTTACTAAGGTCAGACATACCTCAATTAATCAGTCTGTCCAGTAATGAAAGATGAAACAAAGAAGCTGGCTGAAGTTCAGGAAGTAGTGGAGTTGGGAATATAGCCCACTTTACCTGAGCTGAATAGCCTCGCCTTTTGTGTGTCTGTCACTGAATGTACTTCCTTCTTAGACTGTGACATTGTATAGGACATGAGTATTTTAGTAAAAGAACATAACTGCTAATGAGTAAAAGTTGCAGTCTAAATCCCAGGAGCTGTTATTTATGAGCCAAATGCAAATGCCTTTATTTTACAGACTCGGAGACAAACACATATTGGATACAAACTCTATAAATCAGATTGTGTCTTAAAATTAATCAGACAAGCAATGTTTTATGCTTATTATATGCCCTACACCTTCATATAAAGTTCTGGCTCTCTTTAGTTTGCACAGCTGAAGGAGCTATTTTACATTTAGGCCTGTCTTTGATCAGCGCTTTAAGAAAGACTTAGGAACACAATCACATTAGAACACAAGCAGACATCTATAACCAGAAAATTGTACTGCAATCCCCTAGAGGGGATTCGAGAGCAAATCTATTCCTTACCCAGTGCCAATTAAAAAGTGCATTGACATTCAATTCTTCAGCAACCACAAACCATTTTCCTTCTTCGCTTGACTATGGCTCTCCTTTAATTTTAACAGGCTCCTGCCCTCTGATGTCCAACATCTTAACAAAGCATGGGGCTGAATTTGATTTGTTTACCTTGCAGATGAAGCTTGCTCTCAGGGCTCTGCAGGAGGATCGAGCTAACTGAGTCCAAATTGTCATAGCTGCTGCATCCCAGAGGCCCTGTCCGTGTCTCTGTCACCTGCAAGGAAATTAAGTCTTTAATGAAAGCCACATTACATGAAAGAATAATTATTGTGTCTGTGTAGGTGTGTCTGCCTGTATATTATGCCCAACAAGTAGAAAGCCTTTTCATGTGCAGCAGACCTGTTGTCATCAAACCATTTAGTATTTCTCTCACTAGCTTTATGTTGCAGTAACACATTTAGGACAAAAAAGAAACGATCATAAGACTACCCAGCCATTAACAATGTCGACTGCCGTCAGCGTATAGCATAACAGTTATTAGATGGTTTCCTTTCTGAGAGCCTTTCATACATGCTAATTGCACTGCATCCACACTAGTACATTTGTACCCCGTGGCCTTGATACAAAAGCGCTTTGATTGTGCAGTTCTAACTTATAGTTTAACGCTTCAATAATAAAATGACCTTTTTTTGCATTAATCCTATTATACATTATCTGACTCAGTTCTCAAAAGAAGTCTCATTTGCAATCTCATTTGCAATTGCAACACCTGTAACTTTGGATTTTTTAATGTAGCATGATGTGTCTCAGTTGTATTTTCTGGAGTCTCTTTAAAATTTCCTTTTACTAGACAAGGGATGACAAGCCTTTCTAAATATTTAGCTTTTTGTTCCTAAATGTTAACACTGAGCAAAGTAATTAATTGATCTGAATTTATATGCTATTTAAATACATGTTCTCCACATTTGAAAACTCATTAAACCACATTTAGGAACATTTTACTAAAACCATGCATTAACAAATTCCTACAAAAAAAAAAAAATCCACTGGACTTTGTTTCGAAGCTCGAAGATGTTTCGATTCCCATTCAGGAAGCTTTTTCAATTCAAATGTCAGAAATAGCATTGAGTTCGAGGCTTTATACAATAGCCAAACAAGCCTTGATTTTGCAAGGGGTGGACCCTTCCTTCACATTGTGGATGTTGCGGTGTGTACGGAGGTCATCTAATCAGGACAGCCTTCGTGTCTCTAAGAATACACAGGATATGGGCACATCTTGGAGCCGGACTGATAGGAGAGCTACTGTATCTGTAACCCTGAGACAGAGAGGCAACCTGCATGGAGTTCAAGACATGGATGGCGTGTCAGTTTCTGATACGGACAGCTAAGCATCGACATGATGCAACACAGACTCAGAAGGTATAAGAAGCAGGAGATGACGTTGTTCGGGGCTCAAACTTTGCCGGACGCTTGCGGACGTGATTTTTGAGACCACAGCTGTGCATAGCTCTAAGCATTTTTCTCTGTCCTGTAATGAACTGATCTGGAATAAACTCTGTTACTTTTTTACTCCTGTTTTTATAGTCCTTTTTATATGGTTTTAACGAGTTTGAGTTAAGAGTAGTAACTAACTTGCTCCCAGGAAAAGAACCGGTGAGAAGGCCCCTGGGGCGCTACAGCCTTCCTTACAAGGGGACAAATCCTTCTCACTTTAACAGTTTAAATGGACGATCAGGTCCACCACTTTGGAATATGGGCCCTTTGGAATGGGAGTTGTTTGGCTTCCTTTGTTAGCCTGCAATGTCCCATACCTGTCTGACAGTTATTGAGCCAAATGTCTTCAAACAAAGTCCAGTGGTTTGTTTTTTTAAGATTTTTGGAATTACTATGACCTGGATGACTGAGAATCTTCACCAACATACACTACACTATATCCAGTGATATAAAGTCATAAAGGTCAGAAAATCAACTGTAAAACAACAACATTACAACAAAAAGTCAGACACATAAGGAACTATATTTAGAGTTCACATTATTAGCATGAATGCTTTCATTAAAGATGCTAATTTTGAAAATCTTTGGATTAATACATAAAGCCTAATAAAATAAAATTCATAAATGGATTTAAACTAATGGTGAAATATATATCAGTTAGCAAAAACCATAAAGATAGCTCATTAATTATGAAGAATACATAAAATGTGATGTAGACATGAATTTTGATATGGATACTTTCATTTAGAGCTTAAACTGGGAGCACAAAATTGACACCTATCTGGTTTAAAAAGACACGAATACAAGGGATGAAAAACTTGGACCTCACAATTAATCTTTTGTGTTATCCAATAGGCTGTACTGCCTTGGGCAGGAAGATATGTAGGCATAAAACATATCATTGATAATCATTCTGTTATTTAATACAATGCTTGTTTTCATAGTATATTATCTGAAAATGGTCTGTTGTGGGGACTGAGAATGACACTAATGAGGCTAGACAGTGAATCAAACATTACATATGCATGACTAGAAGCCAAAAGTAATGAACTGGAAAACACTGTAAAGTTCCTAGCTGCAAATTCTGCCATGCTGTGTAATGTTTTAATTTTGACCCCTTTTGTAAGATTAATACAGGTAGTCATCATAATCACTTTGGATAAAAAAAATTAATTACATTAGAATAAAATACAAAGAGCAGAGACAGGTATTGCTACAATTCTTTTGCAATATGTCTGTTAATTTCTTTCTTTTTTTGTATACTTTGCATGAAACAATAGCATCAACTTTTTGGTTAAATCCAACTTTTCAAACCCTTTTAGAGACATCAGAATTACAAACTTTTTATGATTTAAATGTATCGATGGTTGAGCTGCAGTCATGTGGAATTCCTCCCTTTTTATAACATCCAAACAAAACTGAAAAAAGCTAGTTTTTCTTCACAGTCTTAGTAACATTTGACCTCAGTAACTTTGGGTGTTTATGTGTTTGCATTTCTCTCTCTTTGTGAGAGAAAAAGTGAGGGAAAAAGATAGCGAGACTGAAGTGGGATGCCATTTTTTTCTGCCTTTTTTGCTGATACTGTACCAGATGGTAGGCTGACAAGCAAGAAATTAGACAGATGTATATCTTACCCTTGGCATCAGGCTATCAGTGGGAGGGACTGATGGGGTGGGGGATGCAGATGACAGACAGGGCCCAACTCTTCCAGAGAAATATATAATTATAGCTTTCATTTTATTTGCTCTTGAATAAATCCTTTAGCATTAATTCTTTCCCCATCCTTTGGTACATAAATATCAAACAGTTAAACTTGATCCCTTCTGTTTGATAAAGAACATCTAGGTGAAGGTATATAATAAACTAATGTGCTTGGATTGATGAGCCAACTGCATTAATGCATTACAGTATTTACTTTCATATTGAAGTAAGTGTTAAAAGCTGAATCCTTAATTAATTAAAACCAAACTGTTACTACAAATTTGCTTACTTAAAATTGTGATGTCTTACATGAAGACTTATATCAGTTTGACTGTTTTATAACTGTGTATAACGTCTGTTTTTGTTATTTACAAGGTATTTTATTGTGCCTCTAGGTCTACCAAAAAAGAATATAGCTTTGCTGCAGCTTCACCAACATTATCTTTCATGAATGCTGAGAAAGACAAGACAACACTGCAATTGAAAAGTGTTTACATTTGTGCTTTGTTTGTTTTTTTTTAACTAATTTTAAGATTCTCTCAAAATATTTATAAAAAAGTAATATGTTTGTATGATGATTTGATCTACAAGACATCTAGATCCTCTGATTACATTCAAAGCAAAAGTACAAACTAAACCCGAAACATCATTGTATTTCAAAAGGACTTGCTTGGAGGTAGTGCAACTAAAAGATGATGGTACCTTCCATTTTGCCACATAAAATGTGGCTACAAAGAGAAAGAAAAATCTGTATCTATAAAGGACCTTTTTTTGTTTTTATTTTGCCAATATTATCTCAGAACATGGTAGAGGTTGATCCGAGTTTTAAAGCAAATCCAAATTTTAACATAATTTGCATTTGCTGGGGTTAATTGATTTTAAAACTTCACTGTTATGAAGGTTGACCTTTTTTATTTTTATTTTAGGAGAGTAAGTTAAGTTTCTGAAATTTAACCCAAGCTTATTACTTAGGAATGACTATTAATGTTCTTTTAGGAATTCTTGAATTTTGACTTTAGCTTGTTTTTGCTCTATTGTCTTGTTTTATTGGGCTTTACCTTTAGTACCTTAAGTGTTTCCCCATCATCACTTACACATACATTTATTTTGTTGTTTCATACTGTATCAACGTTATTCTCATTTACAATACATTTTATACATTTTCCTTTAAATTAAACCAGCTAAATCGTTTTGCTTATTTTTTTTTTCCTCTTTTACTCTTATCTGTAAAGGATTTGGTTGATGAAGGGTATTTAAAGCACTAAATTAATTTATCTACTTACATTAATTATTTAAAAGGACTAAATAATTGACCAACATCTACAAAAGATTATATTTTTACAAAAACACAAATTTACTTAATCTCTACGAAAAAATAGAATAATATAATGCCAGTTTGCTTTACCTATGATATTCAAACAGCATCTCACAGTCATCAACACAATCATAAGGTCTGAAATGGTACTTATTACTTAGCAACACTTCAGTCCTATTTGCTATGCTGTATTATTCAACTAATAACTTTTGGTATCTAGCATGAACTACATTGGCTGAACACCCTTTCTATATTTAGTAGATTTATATTTTTAGGAGGAAAGGGAATAAAATGTGAAGGAACACCTCAGACAGGATTAAATAAATAGAGAAATTGTCATGTTTCTGCCCTGTTTGTCTACACCAGTCATGTTCATCCCTGCTTCTCTTTTCTATGCAGTTAATTGAATTATTGTTTCCACCTGCGTCTCCCCTGTTTGCATCCAGCAGCCTCACCTCAGCTGTTATCCTGGCTTTATATTCTGTGCTCTGGCTCCATGCTTTGCCAGATTATTGACATATCTAGCACCATTTCCCTGCCTGCCTGATTAACAACACTTTTTTGCCTCCTGGATTTTTCTGTTTCGCACTGCCCTGTTCAGTCATTCTCCTGGACTTTGACCTTTCTACATCTTACTACCTACTCCTGCCTTCCTCCTGGATTTAGAAGACTGTCCTGTTTTTGACTTTGTTTCTAAGCTTGACCCTTGGATCCTCTTTTCTGTTTCTGCTTCCATGGCTATGACCAGGTTTTGGTTTGATATT